CCTGGGAGCCAAGGGACAGGCAGCAGCAGCTGGAGCGCATCAGGGAAATGAGGAGGAACAGAGATGCTCCCGTTGATGAGATGGGGGTGGAGAAGTGTTACGACAGCAGCGCACCTCCGCAGGTAACAACACCCTGCTGCCCTGCTCTGTCAGGCGGGCACATGAAAATACATCCCCACTTCCACAGCCCCCTTGTTGTTCCTCCAGTCATCCTCATGTTGCCCCTGGATATGTCCCACTTTGGGTGTCTCCAGAACAGAAAAATAAACGCAGGGTGTATCAGGATTCTAAGCTGGGATTTGTTCCACAAGAGGTTACTGCAGAAGTGTGCATATGAGAGATACCGTTCATCCTGCTCGAGGAGGAGAGTCAGCTGCTGCCTCTCTGGTGCCGGGCTCATTGGCTTCAGACAGCCCTTGTGAAATGGCAGTGGGTGTTTTCTGAGATGTTCTCTGCTCGCATTCAGCCCATGCTGAACATTAGAGACCAACTAGCAAACACAGCTGTGTAAGGTCCTTGTCCTCTGCTTAAACTGCTGCCAGAAGAGTTAGCAGGCTGAACCAAGAGTAGGAGCTGAGGCAAAAATAGGATGATTTTGGACTTGGGAGTGAAAACCCTGAGAGCGTATTGTGGCAGTGATGTCTTCTGGGGCAGGCTGGCAGGGCATAAAGGCATGTCCCTTTTTTCTTAAAAATCTCTGTACAAGTCCAAGAAAAGTATCCAGCAAGATGGCTTTGTAATATAGTGGAAAAATAGTATGGAGAAAAGGCAAGGGGAGCCAAGAAAAAACTTTCCAGGCTGCTTTTATGCTCCTCAGAGCAGCACATAAGCGTAGGCTGGCTTCCTCCCCTCTTGCAGTCTACTTTTAAGGGGATACTGGTTGAAAGGAAGGGCCATGCTGGGATGGCAATGTGCTCCCCAAGCCTGGGAACACAATCAAAGGCCCCAGATGACACCTCCCTCCGAGGGGACCGTTTGCACCAGTACAAAAAAACAAAGCTGACCGAGGCCATGGTGCGGCACTGGGACCTGGGGCTGCAGGGCTGCGCTCTCCGGGCACGGCACTGGTGTGGGAACATGGAGATAACCTGCAGGCGGGCTCGACGGAGCAGCGGGAGGCATGTGCTCCACAGTGACCTGCTGGGCTCTGAAGGAGGGGTCTCGAAGACACAGCTGCACAGCTTCAGCGTGTGTAATGCTGTCCTTATTGCTGGCCTCGTGTCTTGGGCTTGGATCCATGGGGAAAAGGGTTGGCTTTGACTCCAGATACAGACAGCATCACACACTCCACAGTCATGTGGGCTGGCACCAAGTGCAGCTGTGGGGCCATGGGGACCACGGTGCACAATACGGAAATAACTGTTCTTCCCTAGGGAAGCAGGGTTGTTGCTTCCGAGGGAAAGTGGATGTTGTAACCCTCAGCACAGAGCAGCACTCCGCACACAATTTCCATGCACTCAGAGATTATCCTACTTCCATGCACTCAGATTTTTTTCTGGCACACCTGCGATTTTGTAAACTTTGTTTGTAAAAGAGCTGGAGAAAGGATTGTATCCCATGTTATCCTGGGTCAGTCCAGGTTAGTTGCATCATCCTCCTCGTTCTGGTGGGGACAGAATCCCATCTGGAGAAAAATCAATTGAAAAAAAGGAGGTGAATGGTCTGGGCTAAACCCTGCATGATAGCATCAGAGGAACATCTGGGTTTAGTGCTTCATCTCCCAGTCTCTCTCATCCCAGTTCTTTAGATTTGGTTTTGTAAGGAGCTCACTGGAGCCAGATACCTGGTTCCTATTGAAGCCTATTGGGAAAGGGGTGTCATTTTCAAAAGCTGCTTTAGAGCAGAAGTTGTATGAAAAATCATTGGGCGTTTGTACTTTTACGTCCTCTGGGGTCTCCTGAGAATCCCATCATCGGGAAAAGTTTTGTCTGGCCCTTTGCGGCTAAGCACTGGCATCTTTGGGTGTGAGATCCCAGCAGACAGTAGCTGCTCTCTTCCCTTTTATGCATACTGACTGCTTAGGTTGAATGTGCTTCTTTTCTCCCTTTATTGTGTGGCAGAATTAAAAGGTTATGGATTATTTCTGTTGCAGCCTTCCAGTCTCTTGTACATGGATATGGCTGAACCAGGGTAGGTCCATATTATGCAATGGGCTGAAGATGATGCTGGGTGGGAGAACCGAGCCCTAGAGGCAGCCAGATCCTCTCAGAGATCTTGGGGTGTCTCACTGCCTCCTTTCCCCCAGGTTATGCGCTTCCAAGTTCTGCTGTCGCTGATGCTGTCCAGCCAGACCAAGGACCAGGTGACATCAGCTGCCATGCTACGCCTGAGGCAGCATGGCCTCACAGTCGACAGTATTTTGCAGATGGATGATGCGACGCTTGGGCAGATCATTTACCCTGTGGGATTCTGGAGGGTAAGTGCAGGATCGCAGCAGCACCTGACGTGAATGTAGAGGAACCCCTCTACCGTCCTCTGTTCCCATGCAGCTGTCTGAGACAGCTCAGAGGCCCAGGAGAGGAGCGCAAGGCGGGTTCAGGCTTGTCCTTTGCAGGCTGTACTCGTGGCCAGTTGCTGAGCTGAAAGCAGGTGATGAAGGCAGGAGGTGGGCGTGAACCAGCCCTGCTCTTGAGAGACGCACCCGCAGCTGGTATTCAGCCTGCGGCCGTGCCCTGCGGTGATTTTTCCCCTGGCATCAGGCTGTAGGCTGTGTTTTACACCAGTTTTAGCAATTTGTATTCACAGCAAGATTGTTTGCTGCAGTGCCTGAAGTGTGCAGGGGAGGTTGGAGCTAATCTGGTCTCGGTATTTTCCTTTCAAGGAGAATTCAGACTTCGGTCTCCCCTCCGCAAACTCCAGTGTGTGGCCTCACGTCTAACATATGCTCAGGAGTGGTTTGTTTCCTGAGCTATTTGTCTCTTTTTCCTGTATTGGAGGGCAACTTGGATTTTTTGCCTTTCCCCTTGGTTTTCCAGAATAAGGTGAAGTATATAAAGCAGACGACAGCCATCCTGAAGGAGAAATATGGGGGTGACATACCAAGAACCGTGGAGGAGCTGGTGCAGCTGCCAGGAGTTGGGCCCAAAATGGCCCACTTGGCCATGAACATTGCCTGGGACAGTGTGTCTGGGATAGGTAGGTTGGACCGTGTTTTCCCTGTTCCTCTCCTAAATCCCGCCTGATCCATTCCCCAGGCAGAGGGGAAGCCTTGCAGCTGGGTAAAATGCCTGCCCTGGGAGCCTGATAGCATCACTTCACTTTAGTCATCTGCAGAGTATTTGGGTGGGTGAAGGATGTGACCCTCAACCACTCACAGCAGATGGATTGCCATAGGATTTAAGCATGGATCCAGCTACTGTTTTTTCCCCAAATTTGATAGCAGAAATCCCCAAGGGCAGTTTCTCCCTCCGCTCACATCCTGGGAAGCAGTGCAAGTATTGCCTAATTGGGTAGGCATCCAAAAAGATGTGCTAGCAGAATAATGCTTTGAAATCTCTTTGGTGTCAAGTGAAAGAGAGGTGGGGGTAATTTTGTGATTTGGGGATAGTTGTAGGATAGTCTGACATTATTTTTTTCCACAGTTGCTCCTGTTCAAACAAATCTCACTTGGGATTTTTGGCAAGCCGTAAGAGGGCAGAAGCAGGGCTTAGTCAAAGTTACTGTTTGAAACCAGTAATTCATGATGGATTGTGGAAAGAAATGGTCTCAGGCAATCTGTAGCTACGGAATTTCTGATCTATTTTAGTTCCTGCGGCTGGGTAATAGGTGACCACAGGTATATTTGTTTACTTGCCATGTTTATTGAACAGAGAGCCTAGGGGAGTGCACAGCTGTACCCCGTGGAGCTGTGTGCTGTAGCAATGATCGTCTGGGAGGAAGTCTGCGGTGGAGATGGGCGCAGGCCAGACCCAGGGCAGGTTCACTCCTGCACGATGATGCTCGTTTGGGGAGCGTGGCTGGCAGCAGAGCTGCCCGCAGCAGCCGGCAGATGGGGCTGGACAATCAGCTGCAGGGTCCAGGCGAGCTGCCCAGCCTGGGGGCCCCTGGGGACAAATTAATATTCCAAGTGTATTTGCTGCTTAATGGAGGAGCCCTGGGAAAGCTAGGAATGGTGCCACCTGATGAATGACTGCCTCCGCAGCGAGCACGCAGCCCAAGGTCAGTGCGGACGGCAGCTGACTCCTGCAGCCCCACTGGTGACCGGCAGCGGTACGAAATGTGGCTCTTGCGCTCGATTTGACAGCGCTTGGGGTCTGTTGTTCTCTCCCTGCTGTGGAGGAGGGAAGTCTAGAGGGAGCCAAACTAGCCAACTGTTTTCCAAATAATTGTGTGCTCAGTTTTGATTTAGGAGGCAAGACTCAGTCTTCCTGTTTACAGCAATTTCCTGGGTTTTGCCCAATTAGCCATAGAGACAGGTTTATCGCTGCTGATCTAACAATAATATACTTTGCATTCAGAGCTTTTTAGCTCAAAGCACTTATAAACATTCGTTTAAGCCTCACAAACCCTCTTGTGTTGGTAGGTATTATGAAATGTGTTTTCCATCTGGGTAAACTAAGGGGCAGAGATTGCAACTTGCGTAACATCAGCTGAAACACAGGGAGGAAGAGAACCTGGGACAGGCTGCCCTGTGCCTGCTAGATCAGAGCACGCGAACCTTTGAAGGAAGGCTGGGTCAGATTGTGCGAGCGTGTCGCTGGCTGCGTGGTGTGAGATAGCCATCCCGTCTTGCTTTTGGCTCCGAGCCTAGGAAGAAAGCAGCACGTTTCTTCTGCGAGTGAGCCTCCCCTCCTCTTCCACCCGCCTGTTCCTGCTGGCCCGCGGAGGAAGCCCGTGCAGGGCGCTGTACCTGGTGTGCCGTGACAGGCAGCTTTTGGCTGTGCTCTCTCCGTTCAGGTGTGTCTGCCCTCACCTAAACTCTGGGCTCTCCCTTCCTAGCTGTGGACACCCATGTGCACAGGATCACAAACAGGCTGAAGTGGGTGAAGAAGGAGACCAGATACCCCGAGGAAACTCGGGTGGCGCTGGAGGACTGGCTGCCCAGGTGAGACCTGAGACCCCAGCCTGCTTCATCCACATCACCCCCCTGGAGCTAGCTGCAGGAGCTGAGCCATGTCTGCACACAACCCTGCTTATACCATTTTCATTGACTGCTTTGGGTCTCTCCTCTCTATGGGGGACTAGTCTGCGGGTGTTTCTCTTCTCCTAGGGACCTGCAGCAGCAGCAGCTCAGCTACTTGGTTGTTTTGTGGCTATCAGATATATCGATCACCACTAGTGCAGCCAGGTACCTGGAGGTCTTGATGCCTGATTCTTGCCTTGACAAATTTACCATGACCCAAGCCAGGTGCTTTTCTACACAGGCCCTCGCTGAGCCTAATGGCTACAGCAATATCAGACCGTGGTCCGATTCTGGCCTTCGCTGATGCTTAATCTTCAGTATCAAATGCCAGCTGACGGGTAGGCTGTTGCATGTCTACATCTGGCACATGCCTTGGCACAAGAGAATGACCGCAGGCACTTCATGTGTCTGTCCCCTGCTCCCCACCCCAGTTCAGAGGGATCAGGAAAGGTTAGAAGGGCTGTTCTTAGCAGGAGGCTGGGACCCGCCTCCAGGCGCCTTGGGAAGCCAAGAGGAACAGGCAGTAGGCGAAAGGGATCCATTTAAAAGCACGTGCTGTTCTTTAATCCCTCCGAGCAGCTGTATCCGAAAGCTCGTGTTTTCTTCTCGTTGCAGGGATCTCTGGAGGGAGATAAACTGGCTCTTGGTGGGCTTTGGCCAACAGACCTGCCTGCCTGTGAATCCTCGCTGCAACGAGTGCCTTAATCAAGACATTTGCCCAGCTGCTAAGAGACGCTGAGGGATCATCCGGTCTTCGTAGAGCAACAAAGCCGCTTCGGCTCAGCAGCAGCCCAGCGCTGAGCCCTGGTAAAGCTGTGCTTTGCACGGGGCTGGCTGTGTGACTGCAGGGAAAAGGGAGACTGCAGCAGCCAGCTCAGCATCTCTGGGGAGGGAGCAGCCGCTGGCAATGGCTGAGCTCTCGAGAGGAAAAAGGGTCTTTCAAAGCTCAGCAGTCCTGCTGTGTCAGTGCTGAAGGCTCCAGCCCCCGTGTGAATGCCTGAGCGTGCCCCGGCGGAGCAGCAGGCTGTGCTGCGTCAGGAGTAGCTGGAGAGAAATGCTTTGTCCTAGGGGACTCGCTGCTGCTTGTAACTACACATTTAATAAAGGTGGTGGGTAATTTTTTCTACCCGTGAGGTTTGCTGGCACCTGTGCAACACAGGGCAGGGGGAAGGAGAGGACGGGTGACCTCACCGAAGTGTAAGACCATAGCAACCAGATCTGCTAGCTGAAAGCAGGCAGCGTGCGACCTGCCAAGCCGCCTGCCCGGGCAGTGAGGGGCACCACAATGAATAAGGTACAACCAAAGACGATCAGAGGAGGCCACCGCCTGGACAAGTGACCTTTGGGTGGTGGTAGCAGAGGAGCAGCGGGTAATGCAGAGCTAAGGGGGAAGCAGGAGACAAGCCAGCATCGCTCTTGGTTGTGTGCGTGCCAGCAAGGGTTACAGTAGCCACAGGAGCCAGGCTAGCATGGTGCCTCAGAAGCTGACGGAAGGGACACCACCACCGTCTCTGTTTTGTTCTTCAAAGAAAGGGCAGTGCTGACTTCATTGTAGAGCTTCAAAGGAATAATTTCAGCTACTCTTTAAACAGGCAAGGGAGGAAGTGAAGTTTATAATGTGCTAAAGAAGGCTGTAATTCCGCTCTGAAGTTCCCTACCAAACAGATGAGGAACGAGCAAATAAGTACTCGGTACATGGGAAAACGAAGTTTATTACTGACATTACAGTGTACATTATGTTTTTACAATGCAGCTGACAGCCTTATACTGTATTGATTTTTTTTTTCCAAGTTAAATGTACAGGAACTGAATAATTGCTACTGAGCTACAAGATGTCTGAAATACAATAAGTGCTTTAACCAGGAGCAGTTTCCATGGACGAAACAGAGATTAAGATTTTAAAGTCTTATCAGTACAGATTTGCACACCTGATTTCTTTTGATCTGCGTTCAAAACTACATGTTCTTCCCCCCCACCCACCCCCAGCTACAGTGGTCCAGTCTTGAATGAGAAATGCGGTATTTACAAACGGGTCTTTGCTCTCTGACATGCATCGGAGAGTGCGACATTTAGGTCAGTGTAATGGGGAACGCTCTGCCCTGCGCAGACCGGGGCACTGCCTGGGCTTTGGCTATGCAGGCACGGGAAGCAACGTGCATACCATGAAAAAGAAGGGCTCCTTCAAAAGATTACTGATGTATAGAAGCAAATATTTGGGGGGTGGGATGGGGCGCAAAAAGAGAGCAGGTAATTGTCTTTGAAGTGGAGTAGGAAAGAGGTTGTCTCGTTAATGGCAGAGTCCTGGAGGGGAGGCAAACCTCTCCGCATCCTGAGCCATCATCCTCCTGCCGCTCTCGTCACCGATAGCCAAATACCTGCACCAGGTTCTTCTCCAAAGTCATTATTTTTCAACCTGTTCAGCCCATCAACATTCCTAAAAGATTACTTTCGTAAAAGAGAACTCATCTCCTTCACCCCTGAGGCTTTCCATGCTCTCCTGCCAGCCAGCTATCAGCCATGGGCATCAGCTGCTCCCCACGGCGACGCCAAACATCCTGGCTCTTGCTGTTGCGGTCCCCCTGCCCCACACCGACCCACTGCTGTGCTGAGCCCCAAGCCGCTGCCGAGGAGAGCAGTAAATTTTATAAGGCACCTTTTAGCTCATTACTTAGGAAATACACACAGACCCGTTACGATATCCGTAGCGCAGACTAACCCAAAGGCCACAGGCTTGTAACAGCAGTGCTGGAGTAACACGGGGCAAAATCACAGCCAGGGGTTTTAAAACGGTCACCGATGTCCAAGTGATTGCTGCCATTTGCTTTTAGCTGGGGAAACTGGTTTTGTACTCAACTGTCCTGTTGTGCCCAGTCTCTTCCTGCTGCTGCTTCGGCATTTGAGCCAAAATACCAGGCAGCCACCATGGCTGGGCTTGGGGGGCAGCTGGAGCGTGGGAGGGAGGGGGACCCTGTCCTGGTAAAACACCTCTGTCTGCAACCTGAGCGTGTTGTAGTTCAGCTTAGTCATCTTCCATCATTTACAGCCAGAGGCAAGTAATAAAGAGGTTAAGCGGGCTTAATTTGTAATGTTTTAAGGATACATTTTTGAGGTTCTAATAACAAAACCAGGGTGTTTTCAAAGGAGACCACAGAAAGCCAAAGCAGCTGCCCCTCCATCACACCACTGCCTGCTCCGCAGCCACCCCCACGGAGACCCCACGGCTTCAGAAGACACCCTCCGGATGGTAAGACAGAGACTCAGTTATGCTCACAGGCTGGAGGCATCACATACCAGCAGCCCAGAAGTAACAAACCAGGCAGGATCCGGACCCTGCTCCAGGACCCAGCACCCAGGCACAGCCACAGCTGAGCCCCACTGCCCCAGCGCCAAGCCCACCGCTAGAGCTGGATCCCCTCATTCCTCCCTGGAAAGGGATGCTGGGATGTGGTTGCTTCCAAGAGTCTGTCCAAAGAGTTTTTGTAGCATCTCGTGGCTCTTGCCTTCTTGCAAGGCTGCCGGAGCTGGGCCGGCAGCACCGCTCCTCACACCGTGGGGCAGGACCGACCCCGCTCCCTGCCTTCCCCCGCCGCTCAGCGCTGCATCGACGGCTGCAAATGGCGAGGCCTGTGGCATTCGGGCTGTTGGGTTTGGGTTTTGTTTTTAAATCCTGCCCTCTCCCCTCCACAGAGCTGTCGGGGATGAAAAAGGGGCTTTTATTGCCAGGGCAGAAGTCACTGGTGGGGAGGGAGGTTCCTAAACTAACTGGAAACATATGGGACTTCATTTAAAAAAAAAAAAAAAAAAGAAACAAAAACAACAAAACAAACTTCTTCATTTCAATAGCAAAGCCAACAAGAGCGATTCACAGCCACTGTCCGTTTTCCCATCGTGTGAGTAGTTCACGCTGCAGACGGGGTGCCGGGAAGGGGGTGCCGGGTACACCCCACCCTGCGGGTCCCCACCACGGCGGGGGCACGAGGCTGTAAGACGTTTGCACAGGGGCGCAGAGCATCCCATGGGGCTCAGTCTGGGACACCCACAAAACCAAAACAAACGCCCCATTAAAAAAAAAAAAAAGTAATAGAAGCCTAAATGATGCAGGTAAGAAAAAAGGGTTAAACTCTTCCAGTCTTTTCTCATAGGAACAGGGGACGGCGGGCAGCCAGAGCCAGGCTGAAGAGCAAGCAAGAAAAGGAGCTTTGGTCACATTTGTCTTATGAGAATTGCTGGTGAGTAACAATAATAATAATAATAAAAAATAAAAAAAAAAGGACTTTAAAATACGCCTTGTAAAAGCAACCAGTGAAGAGCAGAGCACAAAGCATCTCACATGGACACTGAAGGACAGGGCGTAGGCACCTCAGAAACGTCCAAGCTGGGGCAGGGGCAGGAGAGCGACGGACGGCAGCCACCAGCAAGGCTCAGAAATTGCTGAAAATCTCTCGCTTCTTGTTCCAGTCCATCTGCGGAGCTCTCTTCTTCACCCGCTTGGCCCTCACCTTCTCCTTGGCCTCAGCAGCTGTTGGGCTCAGGGTCAGCCCGCTCTCCTCAAACGGGTCTTTCTTCTCCGCGTCTCCATCCTGCGTGCAGAAGGGAGAAAAGATGTCAGCCCGTGGCAGCATCCCCCGCACCGCCGCGAGCATGGCCATGGTGTCCTGCAGCGTTTCACCCCACACGGCCCTGGGAGAGGCGTTTCCTCCAGCGTGTACGATAAACAAATGCACAGGGGTGGGTGGGTTTTTTTTTTTTTGGAGCAGAAGGTCAAAGTCCCTCCCCCATGCCGTTGCTGTGGTTTCACTGGCGGCGGCAGCATCCGTGTGGCCACAGAGTTAATTACTACATTGCGTTTTGTGGGGTTTCCCCCCGCCCTCGCCTGAGGAACGTGTGGCTGCCACAGCTGGGAAAGCTGAAACACAGAAGCTGCTGCCAGAGGGAAAACAGGCTGCTCCGCTTGTCTGCTGGGAAAATGAAAAATAAGCCCCTGGTGGGGGCTGAAAGCGGGGACGAGGGTACAAACAGGGTGAGCCTCGGGGCTCGCAGGGAGGGTTATGGCAAAGCACCCCCCGTGTTCGCCTGCCCAGGGACCCGTTTGCTCCCAGAGCACCCGTGGCCAACTGAGGCAGGGATGGGGCTGCGTGGGAGGACAACAGCGCCTGTGTGCCCAGCTGGCCATGCCCAGCACGGCCACCATCAGATGCCAGTCAAGGCAGTATTCGCTTCGGAAACTGTACGGAAAACAGCATCTTTCCAACTGCTTAAGAAAAGTACTTTTATAATAAGAAAATTAAACTTCCCTCTCTAAAGTCACTGCCACTGCGGCAATGTGTCCTCAAGCCAGGAACCCCAGGTGCCCCTCCACTAACCCTGACCCTCTTGTTCCTTCAGGAGGTGAAGGATGGCCGCTATGTCCTCAGGGTACAATTAAAGTCCTGGCCAAAATGCTTTTATTCCATTGCATCCCTGTTAGGGACAGACCCAGCACCGTGTCTCCAAGCCCCTCAAACCCACAGGTCTCAGAAGCATCGTCCCTGCCTGGACTTAGAATCCTAGAATTGTCTAGGTTGGAAGGGATCTTTAAGATCACTGAGTCCAACCATCAACCTAACACTGCCAAACCCACCACTAAACCATGTCCCTCAGCACCACATCTACCCGTCTTTTAAACACCTCTAGGGATGGTGATTCAACCTCTTCCCCGGGCAGCCTGTTCCCATGTTTGATAGCCCTTTTGGTGAAGAAATTTTTACTAATACCCATCCTAAACCACCCCTGGCACAACTTGAGGCCATTTCCTCTTGTCTCATCGCCTGTTACTTGGGAGCAGAGACCAACCCCCTCCTCGCTACGCCCTCCTTTCAGGGAGCTGTAGAGAGCCGTAAGGTCACCCCTCAGCCTCCTTTTCTCCAGGCTGAACACCCTCAGTTCCCTCAGCCGCTCCTCATAAGACCTTTTCTCCAGACCTTCACCAGCTTTGTTGCCCTTCTCTGGACACGCTCCAGCACCTCAATGTGTTTTTTGTAGTGAGGGGCCCAAAACTGAACACAGCACTCGAGGTGGGGCCTCACCAGTGCTGAGTATAGGTGGACGATCGCTGTCCCAGTCCAGCTGGCCACACTATTCCCGATACTGGCCAGGATGCCAGGACTTGGTTCATCAGAGCTGGTTTCAGCAGGCTCCATAGCAGGTGCAATCTAAAGCTTTGGCTTCATCCATCACATCCATCACTGAGGCTTTCCCAGGTCTCAGTGCCGGGCAGGGTGGAGGTGCCCGAGGAGAACAGCTCGGGGAGACGCAGCTGTGCCCTGGAGCTGCACGGCTGCGCTCCGCGAGCACCACACTCATGTCAATAGCGGGCAACCCTACAGAATCAAGACCTTCGGTTTTAAGGAAACATTTTAAAGCCTGCCTACTCACACTGCTGCCCTACCACGCAGTCGAAACTCCAAAATGATGATTTCACAAACCCTCCTGATAACCATGGGCAGGTCTTCCACCAGCACTTCAAGAGAATGGCTCCAGCTTTGCTCTGGCTTACAAGTGCAAACTGACCCAGGTGGTGGCCTGAATGAGCACCTCAGGCTACGAGCTGGGGGGCAGAGCCACAGGCAACCCCCCCACCGCTCCCCAGGGACTCTGGTTTCCAGTACAGTGGTGGGACAGCAATCTCTGAAACAGCCCAAAGGTGACTCCACGGGAGGAACCGCTGTGCTTGGGCACTGGGAAACAGCCCAGTTTTCCAAAGGCAGCAGCCATTGGATGGGGACATGTATTATTTAATGCTCAGAGGGAAACAGAGATGCCAGACTGCAGGCGTTTGGCCACAGCTCTGGGACACAGCTGGCGTTCGAGAAGTTTTAGAGGCTCTGGGTGCTCAGAGGAGACTGTGTGAGCACTTGCTGTCATCAGACTCCCACTCCCAGCAGTCTTGGGAGAGCACAAGCACTGAGAACCAGCAGAGACCCCACAGATCACCAGCATGGAGACATTCCTCTATTTTTAGCAGAGCCTCACGCTAAAGATAATTTTTTGAGCGCTTTAGGAATCCCCTACTTATTTTAAGAAAAAAAATTGCTACATTAATAACACTGACAGAATACCCATCTATGCCTTGTGTTTACTTTTGGTCGCTTGTTCACCTTGCGCAGCGAGCTCTGAGGTGTGCCTCTTCTCTGGCCCTCTGCCGCGGTGTTCAGCCAAGCTCCACCAGAGAAACAGCCCCAGCCCTGCAAGGTCACCAAATCCACGTTCCTCCCATCTTGAGCAGCTCCTTTAAACACTGTGATAAATTCTCTGTGCTCCAAGCTAAAAGTATTTCGGCTTCTATAAATTCTAGCCCGCCTTGTTCCTGTTAGCAGCACTGGAACATCACAGCTCCGCTCCTCCCGGCTTCCCAGCCTCACCTCCTGCCCTGTAGTTTGTCAGTATAATTACACTTAAGATCCAAAACTCTCGTAGACATTCTTTTATCTTACACCTCTTTTCAAACCATTCGAGCACGAGTCGCTGCCCAACGAGGCACCAATTAACTTGCTGCCGTTACCCCTTGACGTTTTCCTCTGCTTGGTTTGGGGCAGTGCCACCTCCTCCCCGAGGTCACGATGCCCGAAAGGATGTGCACACGCGCGTCCTCCCAGAGCCAGGACAGAGCACGCATCCGCACCTTTGCAAAACTCGTCTGTTAATACGGGACATCTACTGCTGCTGCTGGCAAAGGCCACGCGACTCCCACCAGATTTTCTGTCCCAGGGACAAAGAGGGGAAAGAACATCTCTGTGACAGCAGTTCATGCTGCTACAGGACACATCACTCTGAGGGTCCCAAGCCCTTGACTAGCCACCCAAAGGAGTTATCGATCCGTCCCAGCAACACGGTCACCTCCACGGTGGAACCAGAAGCTGCTGACAGCTCACGGCTCCATTTCGTGCACATCTACAGCGCAAGGGATGAAAGAAAACGCCAGATTTTGCTCGCTGGATGGATACAAGCGTACTCAAGGCTGCGAGACAAAACTGACAACGCACTGAAAGACATGCCTCATGGTACCGTGTGGCAATGCATGTACCTACAACACTATGTAAAAGGGAAGGGGAATGTTTGGGGGGTTTTACCTCTGATTCCTTTCCAGGACTTTGAAGGTCACTGTGAGATGAAGATGTGGATCCTCCATTCAGCTAGTGGAAATTAACACGTTAGTCCAGTTTGCACAAAGACACAATTAAGGAAAAGAAAAAAAAAAGCTAGGCAGAAAAATGCTCCAGCCCAATGGGGTCAGACATCCCAGACAGAGACCAACGCCTGGCGTGTCTAGGGACAGGAGCAGAGCCTGGAGGGAAAGGTCCTGCCAAAGGGACCCTGCACACACACACACGGGAGGTCCCTGGGATTTGCCAGCAGAGATGCCACTCTCCTGCATCCCCTGGACTGGGCAGAGCACACTCCCCATCCTGCCAGCGCTGGGCAGCTGCTCACCTCCTCCCTCTATCACTGGGAACAGTGATTAAACGGGGCTGAAACCAGCCTTGTTCAACCCCTAAATTAAAGCTGCAGCAGGAAGCAATTAAAATCAGCCAACAGCGGTTAAGCTGAGCTAAATGAGCCTTGGGGACATTGTGAGCATCCCTCTCTGCTCTGCAGGCTGGCAAGTCATCCCGACAGGCTCACATGTCACAGGAGGGAGCAAAGGAAAGCCGGCATGCCAGGAGCATGGCTTCTCACCCCTGATCCCTCTTGATTGCTCCAAGACGTTCCCCTAAACTGAGCTAACCCGGGATGCTGCCCAGCCACCCCGGCCATCGGGGCACCCTCGAGCAGGCAAGTACTCACCTGAGTCTGTGCGGATCCATTTGTCATGGGCTGAGGTACCACTCCTAGAGACCACATAAAGAAAATACGTGGTAAATACACTCAGCTGGGATTGCTGGCCTCAGGTCCAGGCAAGCATCCCTCAAGCAACCCTCACCCGGCCATCCCAAGCCTGCTTTCTCCCTTGCCCACCCCACCAGCTCAGTGTGTCTTGTCTCTGGACTGTGCCCTATGCTGCTTCTGAGCCCACACAAAAGCCTGTCCATCCCCCTTCTGTCCTTCTGGAACCAAATTCTTTCCCACTCCCCTGACTTCATAGAATCATAGAATAGTTTGGGTCAGAAGGGACCTTTAAAGGCCACCTAGTCCAACCCCCTTGCAATAAGCAGGGACATCTTCAACCACATCAGGTTGCTCAGAGCTCCGTCCAGCCTGACCTTGAATGCTTCCAGGGATGGGGCATCTGCCACCTCTTCGGTCAACCTGGCCCAGTGTTTCACCACCCTCATGGTAAAACATTTATTCCTTATATCTAGTCTAAATCTTCCCTCTTAGTTTAAAACCATTACCCCTTGCCCTATTGCAAGAGGCCCTGCTAAAAAGTTTGTCCTCATCTTTCTTTAGGCACTGAAAGGCCAAAATAAGGTCTCCCCTTTGCTCGAGTTCACTCTGTTTTCATCAGAAAACACCTCCCAGGAAGGGAACCAAGTAATTTCCTTCTACAAGCACTAAATCCAGCACACTCCTGGTTTTTTGACTAAGTAATTTTTCTCCAGAAGCTGTTTAATCAGAAATCTTAAAAACCAACCCAGCATTCTTTGCTGAAATCAGCATCTTGATGGTGTCACAACAGCATGTGGCAAACAACCCGCTCCACGGGTACCCTGGCTTCCCCCCCCTCCTCACTTCCAACTATTTGCACTCATAGTATTCCACACAACGGCAAACGTTATGTAGATAAGCTGCCAGTCACTGAGATCAAGTCATGGCAAAAAGCATTACCATGTCTCATCTGTCCCAGGCTAACAGATGTGTTAATTGTGACGGGATTAATAACTGAATTATGTCGAGCATGAATGCTTCTCGGGGCAAAGCCCTCACTCTGTGTATCTTTCCAGCAGAAGACAATGATGTGGATGCACATCGCTGTGTAACCCGAAATCCAGTGAAGCAAGAGCAGCGCACGGCACCAAATGCGACTTGCAACTGCAGAAACCCAGGGCAGCTAATGGCACAGCTCCAAAGCCATCGTCTCCCTGCACCACGTACAGACACGGCTGGGATTTCCAGTACAAAACAGGGCACCTTTGCGTTTAAAAAAATAAACTCTAATCATAATTTTGAGCGTGCTAGTGCAAAAGTCTCAGTTATGGTGCTGGGATCCTTGAGTATTTTATCGTACTGAACATCAGACTCGTGTTTACAGTATGATAAACTGAGCAATGGTCATCAAAGAAGAAAGTCAGCTCATAGCAGAAACGATGCTAAAATCTCTGGTATCATAAGAAAGATAATGTTACTTAAGTGAGAAGCAAGCTTCAAATCACAAGCAATATTGAAGTGGAACTGGACTTTTAAAAAAAAGTAATTTCAAGATTTGGCTTGTGTGGAAATATTTTTGTGTTTCCTTAATCCTGAAAGGTGTGTAGCTCTTAAAATACGCTCATTGGCTAAAACACTGAGGTGCTTAGGATCAGCGGTAAGACTTCAAAATTGTAAGCCTGAGGTCCAAGCAACTTGATTAAAGAGTTCCATTATTATTTCCTCTTATCCTGCCAACCACAGAGTTAACCAGAGCACTTTGTCATCAACACACCTACTGTCACCGGCCAGGCAGACCCAATTCTCCATCTCCGACGAACGCGCCGAGACGGCGTCGCCAGCTGTGGAGCCGAGGCAGGGGCTTGAGCACCCCCCCGACCCGCACCCCCCGGGGCGGCCGGTGCCCTGGCTGCGTCCCCACCCCGGGGAACAAGGGCTCCTTTATCGCTTCTGCCAGCAGACAGCTCTCGCCCCAGCTCCTCCTCGAACCGACGCGGAGCATCTGACACCGCTTTCGCCCCGTGCGCTTCTCTGCATTGTTTGACCCATTTCTTTGGACAAAAATCTCCCCATTGAGCATCGGAGGGAGCCAGGGTGCAGATCAGATAAGGAAGAGCTGTATTGGGAAACAGAGCTCGCCATTCAGCCGGGGGATGGCAGGACGGGCCGGGGAGCGCCCTGCTCCCTCCCCATCCTGGAGTGGCAGCACAACAGGTTGGGGAGCGGACAGGCAGCTTTCTCTGCCAGGTTTCAACAGCAAGGAAATAATTTCCTGCAACAGCCGCCCCTGTGATCGCTGTGGCGTGAAACCCTTCCCTCTGCGCGCACACAGCGTTTGCTTTGGTATTTCTCAATGCACCCACAGGCTCCTTTGCTGGAGCAAAGAGAGCAACGGGGCATTTATTGCACTCTCCCTCCCGAGACCCCAGCTCAGCATCCCGGGCAGACCGTTCTGTTCCCCCAGACCCTGCAGGGTCCACCCGCTCCAACACCAGACACCCCATCTCCCAGGGTGCGGGTGCAGCTGAAAATGGATGGGCTGGAGGAACGGCTGTCGGAGAAGCTTCCCAGCCCCAACCAGACAGACCGGTCCGCACCTGAGCATCCCTCACCGAGCACCCAGCTCCCCCCGAATCCCACCATGCTTTGTCTCAGCCACTTTCTGGCAGCAACTTCCCATGTTAATTATTCACCATGTAAAAATAACAAATTGGGTTTTGGCTAGATTAGGAAGTATTCTCACTATGTATAAATAGCTGGGTGGTGCTCAGGAAACTACTGAGGGATGAGACAGAAGGGAAACATGACTCTCCCCCACTTCTGAAATCCCACCCATGACACGGTGAGTCACGGGAACGGCATAGGGTCACCCAGGGAAAGCAAGATCTCACCTTTGGTGTGTTCCTCTGTGGGGGTCACCCCCAGCTTCTTGAAGTAATCATCTGTTTCGGGGTCCACCACCAGGAGCCTGGCTTCGTTCTCTCTGGACTTAATGTGGGAAACCACCTCTGAGTGCCGCAGGCCTTCCACATTTATGCCGTTCACCTGCAAAGTGACAGCATCAGAACCCAAATCTGTGCCCACCACAGGAGAGATGCTGCTCCCAGCTCACAGACCCCCACCCCCGGAGCAGACTTCTCATCCCCTAAGGGATGGGATTTTCCTTTTTTAATTTCCATTGGGATGACAGGAAGGCTACAGGCTTCCTCCTTCCCCCTCTCAAGCCAGCCATGGTCTCCTACCACCCCCTGCCTGCCTGGTGCCTCTGCCAAAGCATCCTTCATGTCCCTACACACCTCCGCCTGCATCCTGAACACGTCCATCAGGAATCACAGACCCCAGACTCCACCATCACCCCACCTGCCCAGGTCCTGCCAAAACGCTCTGGTTGCCCTCTTTAGTGATTTCAAACTCAGCCTTCACCTTGGATGTGCCCCAGCTATCTCAGGCTGCCTATGGGGTGCAACCATGTGCACAGGCAGTGGGCTGGGTACCACCAGTGTGTCCTGCTCAGGCAGCAGCAGCATCACTGGGCCATTATTCATCACTCCATGATAGAAAACTGTGGAATTCCTACGTCCCCAGCAGGCGAGTCCCCGTGTCTGCTGCACGGATTCATTTCTCCCTTCCCTGCGTGCGAGCCGGGACCTACCGGGGAATGTGATCCTCTGCTCCCGATTGTTCCCCGAAGCGAGGGGACAATTGTGATTTCGAGGCATTGTTCGTGGTAGGGAATGAATCACCCTTTGTCCCGCAAGGGAAGGTCTCTGCACCGCCCGGCCCCTCGCTGCTGGACCCGCTTTTGTTTGATAAACTCTTTTCAGTGCTCCAGCCCGTCGCCAGCAAAGCTCAACCCACCCTTCATCGCCCGTTCCGCCTTTGGCATCTGAAGGCGCCTGCCCACAGGACAGCAGAGCGATGCGCTAGTTCAGCTGGGACGGAGAAGGGGAGAGAATGCTGGTGGTACGGAGAGCACTAGGAATGGAGTAAGCTCCTCGTTTTAAAAAGAGCTGCTCCGTTCCTACAGCTTTCTGAAATGAATCAAAGACTTCAAAAATCTACCCAGCACAGAAAGGCCTTTGTTAGGAGAAGTGGACAACAGGTTTTGTTTGGTTTTTTAAGCCATACATAACGTTAAAGCTACATGTTTTGGATGCACATTCTTTTACATTCCTGCCCTCCCGTAGGGCCACAGCTCTCCAGGTATCACCACCATCAACACATTTTTATTGCTTCTCCACCTGCAGACAGACAACTGCCTTCTCCCATGCTGGAGCCCGAAACACAGAGCACACCGATGCCAGAGCTGGGGACGGAGCCCAGGAGTGGGGTAACCCCATCCCGGCAGCCCCCGGGGAGCTGCGCTACACCAGCGTGGCATTGCCCCAGCAGCACCCAGGACGTTGCAGCCCATCCCAGGGACACAGGACAGCAGATGAGGCTGGTCCTAGCCCAGCCATGGTCGCTCTCGCTGCAAAGTCATGGCTGCATGGCAGGGGGGACGAGCAGCTACCTCCTCTGGGTTGTGCCGAGGTTGTCGGGGGGTTGGAAACCCTCCTTTGGCAGCCCCAGCATGACCCGGAGGTGGTGGCTGCTCATTCCTACTGCAACAGGACAACACTTCAGAGCCTGAGCTGGGACAGCTCCAAACTTTGGGTTCCCCTTTGTGTTTCGGAGGCCTGAACACAAAGCTGGGGCAGAAACAGGTCCTGAAGGACCAGGACACGGCCACAAGGGCTGGGATGGAACCCCCTCCCCAGGCTTTGCATCTCACTGGCTGCCTCACCTGCTGGGCTTGTCACCCCTCTCTGTCCCCAGCAGCGTCCTCCTGCCACTCCAGGTTCCCCCAATTCATGCTCAGTGCTCACCCCTGGTTGAGCTCAGCTGAGCTGCACAGGGCTGCTCTCCCCCCACCCCAGCACCCCCAGCCCACCCAGGGCAGCAGGGTTGGTGGGCATCAAATATTTATCGAAGCCCCAAAGAGCGGGTAGGGACAGGATCGGGTTTCTGAGCTCGCTAGCTCACCCCTCTCCGCTTTGTGTGTGCCAGGCACTCTGCCAAGCACCAATAAATAAATAACACAACCCCTCGCCGTGACACCGCGCTGCCGCCGGCACCCCGCTCCCGGCCCCACGCTGCTCCCGGCATTAAACTTTCAGGTACCGGGAAGAGGCAGCAGCTCCCACTGCCCAGGGAAAAATTATCCACAGGGCTAGAAAGCAGGAGAGTGTTTCGGTTTTAGTATTTTCCCTACTCGCCCGGCTCTGCAGGATGCGAGCGTTTTCTTCC